TCCTACTCCACTCATTGATTTTACTAGGGTTGTGGGCTCATTTTGTCCTTCTCAGGGGGCAGCTCTCCTTCGCGCTTCTGCGGAGGTCGCAAGAGGCCCCAAGATGGCCCCAAGAGGCCCCCCGGAGGCTCCCAAGAGGCCTCCAAGAGGCCCCCCAGACGCCGCCAAGCGGCCCGAAAAGGCCCCCAAGAGGACCCCAAGAGGCCCCCAAGAGGCCCCACGAGGCCCCAAGAGGCCCCCAAGAGGCCCCCAAGAGGTCCCCAGGAGGCCCACGACGCCCCAAGAGGCCCCCAAGAGGCCCCCAAGAGGCCCCCAAGAGGCCCCCAAAAGAGGCCACACGAGGCTCCCAGAGGCCCCCAAGGGGCCCCACGAGGAGCCCGAACGACTCACATCAGGACGAGGGGCCCAAACGACTCACACCACGAAGAGGCCGAACGACTCACACCACAAGGAGGGGCCCGAACGACTCACACCAAGACGAGGCGCCCGAACGACTCACACCACGAGAAGCCCAAAGGACTCACACCACGACGCGGGCCCCGAACGACTCACACCACGAGGAGCCCAAACGAGTCACACCAGGAGAAGGGGCCCGAACGACTCACACCAGGACGACGGGCCCGAACAAGTCTACTACGACGGCTACTTCTACTGCCACTGCTACTGCTAGTGTCATTGCTACTGCTACTACTAGTACTACAACTACTACTGCTACTGCTACTACTACTACTACTACTACTACTACTACTACTACTACTACTAGTACTACGAATACTACTTCATCTGCTACTAGTACTCGTACTACTACTACGAAACCGCCTACGACTACGACTACTACTACTACTACTACTACGACTACTACTACTACTACTACTACTGATGCTTCTTCTACGACTACTACTACTACTACTACTACTACTACTACTACTATTACTACTACTACTACTACTACTTATACGACTACTACTACTACTACTACTACTACTACTACTACTACTACTACTACTACTACTACTACTACTACTACTACTACTACTACTACTACTACTACTACTACTACTACTACTACTACTACTACTACTACTACTACTACTACTACTACTACTACTACTACTACTACTACTACTACTACTACTACTACTACTACTACTACTACTACTACTACTACTACTACTACTACTACGACTCCTACTACGAAGGGCCCGAACGACTCGCACGCGGACGAGGTGCCCAAACGCCTCACACCACGAGAAGCCCGACCGACTCACCCCAGGACGAGAGGCCCGAACGACTCACACCACGAAGAGCCCGAACGACTCACACCAGGACGAGGGGCCCGAACGACTCACACCAGGACGACGCGCCCGAACGACTCACACCACGAGGAGCCCGAACGACTCACAACACGAGGAGCCCGATCGACTCACACCAGGAGGAGGGGCCCGAACGACTCACACGACGAGCATACCGAACGACTCACACCAGGAATAGGGTCCCGAAAGACTCACACAAGGACGACGGGGCCGAAGGACTCACACAACGAGGGCCCGCACCGCCGCCTTCGTCGTCGTCGTCGTCGACGTCGTCGTCGTCGTCGTCGTCGCGGTTGTGGTCGTCGTCGCCGTTGCGGTCGACATCGTCGTCGTCGTCGGGTGCGTCGTCGTTGTTCAGATCATCGCTGAGATCGTCCTCTCCGCTGAGTCCCTCTTGCCTCCCACCGCTTTCTCTCCCTCCTCCTCCGCGTCGTCCTTCTCCCGCTGCCCCCACAAGGAGGATGTACAAGGAGGCGGGAAGAAGGAGGAACAGGGGAGATATGCGGGGCCAAGCGGACACACGCCCGAAAAACACAACTGTCGGCACGCTTCGCAAGAGTTGCTGTTGTGAGATGGGCTGGTGGGGAAACGCGAAGCGTAAAGAATTTCCTGTACCAGTTGTAGCTTGTAGTTTCCAGTGTTACAGTTCTGCTTCTTGATGGTTACTGTAACTAACTGATTGACCGCGCGAGGGGGGGGGAGGCCCAAACGGTATTTTTAGCACCCCCTGGGCGCGTTGTCTGAATTGCTGGGGGGGCTCGAAATCAACACCCCTCACGCAGATCCGCGGGGCCAGGGTCCAAAAACACATTGGATTTGCCACATTTCTGAAATTCGGTGCCACCCCTCACGCAGATCCGCGTGGTCAGGGTCCAAAAACACATGGGATTTGCCACATTTCTGAAATTCGGTGCCACCCCTCACGCAGATCCGCGGGGTCAGGGTCCAAAAACACAAGGGATTTGCCACATTTCTGAAATTCGGTGCCACCCCTCACGCAGATCCGCGGGGTCAGGGTCCAAAAACACATGGGATTTGCCACATTTCTGAAATTCGGTGCCACCCCTCACGCAGATCCGCGGGGTCAGGGTCCAAAAACACAGGGCGATTTTTGCCACATTTCTGAAATTCGGTGCCACCCCTCACGCAGATCCGCGGGGTCAGGGTCCAAAAACACAGGGATTTGCCACATTTCTGAAATTCGGTGCCACCCCTCACGCAGATCCGCGGGGTCAGGGTCCAAAAACACAGGGATTTGCCACATTTCTGAAATTCGGTGCCACCCCTCACGCAGATCCGCGGGGTCAGGGTCCAAAAACACATGGGATTTGCCACATTTCTGAAATTCGGTGCCACCCCTCACGCACATCAATCGCAAGGCGTGGTAACCCAAACTGCGAGTACTCCCTCGGCCCTTTAATCCCAAGGTGTGGTAACCAAGCTCGTAAACCATACACGTCTTACCAATCGCCCTGTGTGGTAACCCCTCTTGTGATCAGTTGGTTTTGCCGATTGCGAATCGGCCTCGCATGAAGTTCCGATACTGCTGCACGACAGCGCCAAAGCCTCATGACTTAGCTCTTCCATGGCCCATTCTCCGAGAGAGGGGGCCGGCGGCAGGGGGCGAAGCCCTTACGGATAAGATGAGATAGCACAATATAATTTTGGCGAATGTAAGAATGTAAAATAACATAATATGCGATCAGGTAGATAAGATGTGCACGCCAATAAAAGGCAATATAAAGTAATATAAGATATGATAGGATAGCGTCAAGTCAGATAATATGATATATGGTACTGTAAGATATGATGGTATGATATAAGGAAGGATACTAAAAGATAACATCGAATATGGTAATGTAAGTAAGGTAATAAAGGTTCAGACAATATAGTGTACGAGAATAAAATACAAAATACGATAATATAAAGATAGGCCCAGATAATATCACGAACTGTAAGATGATATAAGATGATACGTCTTACTCGAAAACAACATAAGATACTATGCTATCATACAAAGAAGAAAGTCCATATAATATAAGGACAATATATGATAAGGTAAGCTATGAGAAGATAAGATACGACAAAATGAGATAAGATAAGATAAGGTTGATATCATATACTATATTTCAAGGCATGAAAAGGTCGGGTGAGATAAAGATACGACCAAATTAGGTAAGAAAGAATGATATATGATGCATCAAGATGATGCGAAATACGATAAAGTGAGATAGGACGAGATAACACAACAGAAGAAATGGCAAGATGATATTCAGTGAGATGGGATAAGAGAAAGGAATATGAACGATGAAGGAAGATAAGACAATGTTAGATATGCTGTTGGAAAAGATCGTATAAGGTACGATAAGATGCAATTATAATAGCTGGGATAAGATGAGCTAAGATCGTGAAACAAAGGATAAGATAAGAGGAGCTAGGATGCGATAATATAGTACGCTACGGCAAAAAGATGAGACACGACAGGATAGGACAAGACAGTACATGATAAGATAAGATAGGATATGGTAAGCTGTCATATGAAATGATAAGTCAGGATCAGATAACACACAAGAAGTTCAGATAAGGTGATACAACTTATGTTATTCAAAGATAACAAAAAGATAATATAACATAACAATCAGGAGGTATTAGATAATTACACCGGAAAACAAGAATATAATGATGGTACAATACACTATAATCTAATTAAATAGGATCGGACACTATAGGATACGAGACGATAAGATGGTATACGATAGAATCAGATGACCGAAGATCCGATGCTACATGACAAGATAAGATAGTAATAATATGATGGGGCAAGATACAAGTATGATAATATATGGTAAGATAAGAAACAGCAAGGTGAGATACGACTGGAAAATTCTTGGAACCAAAACAGGATAACAAAAGGTAAGATGAGAAAAGATTGCGTGTGATAAAATGCGATCTGATCAGGGAAGGTAAAGCAATATTATACAGTATAGCATAGATAAGGTGAAGCGTTGTGAAAGATAAGATATAACACCATACGATGATACAGGCTTAGACAAGGTCCGATAAGATGGGGTATGCTAAAACCATGTATGAAAATGGAAGCAAAGATAAGATATGATAACACACACGTGACCATACAATAAGAAGATATAATATAAGAGAGAAAGTATATGATAGTGCAGGCATAATATAAGTATATGGTAAGGTAAGACAATGCAAAACAAGAAAAGATACTAGTGCATGGTACAATCAGAGGAAATGAAAGTGTATGAGATCATGTACGGTGATATCAGGTAAGAAATGTATTATAATATGGAAAGGGTGATACCAGATGCGATAAGGTAATGTAAGGAAATATGATGTAATGTGATATAAGGTAAGATCAGGTATAGATGAAATAATATGACATATGCGAAGGTATGATACTGTAAGACCATATAGAATCATAAACGATAAAAGGGCATACGATACTATAAGACACGATATGAATTGACAACGAATGATACGATATGGTAAGTTCATATAATATGGGGTAATGTAACAAGGTGACGAAAGACGTCCAGGCCACCGAACGTTTTTCTTCTGTTTTAAACAAGAAAAATGCCCTCACCCTCGTCCTCCGACCGACCCAAGACGGCGAAAGATCTCTGGGCCCGTTTCCCCGAAGACACCCGTTTGCTTCACGCCGACTTTCCGCTCTATGGCGGAGAGCCCCGAGGCGCAGGCGGAGCTGGAAGAGCCGAGTACGGCACGAGCACAAGACGCCTGGCGGTCCGCGCGGACGCCGTGGGTCGGCGCTGGGCCCCCCCTCTAGCAGAACCTCCACCCTCATAATCATCACCCCGACACGCGAAACCGTCTAGTAAACGCACCCAAAGAATAAATCAAACAGGGCGGGGATGTCTAGTCGACGCCCAGGGCCGTTTAGCAAACGCCCATAATTATCGGGTCCCCTCGGGTGGTTTTTCCTCTATCGACCCTCCCTCCCCAGTCCCCTGCGACGCCTCCCGCGACACCCCAGGCTCGCTCTGCGTGACGGGGACTGGGTGCGTCGGCGGCGAGCCCTAGAAGGAATGGCGGGCCTTCTCGGAAGGCTCGGAAGGCCTCAGGCCCGCGGAGGAGAAAGACACAGAGACGGCTTCTCAAAGGGCGGAGATCTTCTGAGAAGCCCCGCCGCCTTCTGAGAAGGTCTGCTCCTCTCGCTTCCCCCTCTGGGCGCGCCTCCGTGTATGGTAAAGGGGGCGGGTCTAGCGCCGACCCAAGAAATCCGCGCGGACCGCGGGCAGGTCGTGCGCACGCCGGTTTTGTGCCCTTCGGGGGGACAGCGCCGGCGATGCTTTATCGATGAATTCCCTGCTCCCTGGCGGGGCCGAGGAGCAGCTGCCTCAAAGTCGCTGCGCCAGCGCCCAAGGTCAAGGCGGGACAGCTCTTCGCGAAGGGCACAGGCGAGGGCGGGCTGTAGAGGGCAAGACAGGGTGTGAGACGTCAGCGGGGAGCGGGGAGCGGTGCTGCAGATCCTCGGGCTCACCCGAGAAGAGTCGACTCAGCGAAGCGCCTAGAGGGTGGAGGGTCAATGGCCTTTCACAAGCTCCGCGTCGCTCTCCAAGTCTGACTGCCAATCCTCCGAGAGGAAGGCCAGACGCTCCCCAGACTTCCTCCTCGCCCTGAGCAGCGCCCACGTCGCCAGGCCTGTGGCGGCGATGCCGAATGCCAGCAGCACTGGAACGTGCAGCCAGGCGAGGGGCCGCATCCAACCAGGGAGGTGTTCGAGCATGCGGTGCGCCACCAGCTCCCAGGGCAACAGCGGCAGCAGCCACCAGCTCGCTGCAAGGGACCTCCCAGCGCCTCCCAGCGCCGCACTGCAGATCGGTGCCTCCAGCGCCGCGAGGGCCGCTCCCAGCGCGGCCGACGCCGTGGCGCACAGGCAGCCGGCGCCCACGCAGCAAGCCCCAGCGGCCGCGGGCGAGTCGCCCTCGAGGGGGCACGCACACAGGCGGCACGGCTCCGAGGCGCTGGCGTGCGCCCTGTAGAACGAGACGCCCAGGCAGATCCCCCCAAGCACCAGCGAGGCCACTGCGAGGGTGCCGCCCCCGCCTGCCCGCGCGTCGGCCCTGATGCCCTCCGCGACGCCCTGCAGCTGCGGGGCGAGGAGGAGGCTGACGAGCCACACCGCGCCGAGGGCCGCGAGGCCGGAGAGCCACTGCGAGAGGACGTCGCGCGCCAGGTCGGCGCAGACGAGGCCCGGGCTCCTGCAGCCACACGAGAACTGCGGCAGGCGCGCGCCCAGCGACGGGATGCCCAGGACCACGGCCACCGCGAGGGATCCCAGAGCGATGTCAGCCAGGACTGGCCAGAGCCAACGGAGAATAGCGCCGGCGACACTGAACAGGGCGCCCAGAACGAGCTGGGGGAGGCTGGGCGGATCCGCTGGCGGTGGCAGCGTGGTCGGCTGTGGGACCGTGGTGGTCTCCTTGTTCGGCGCGCCCACGATCATCTGCTTGGCAGCCCCCATCGTCTGATCCCAGAGCCAGTTCAGTCTCCTGCCGCCATCGGGCGCGGCCGCGAACTTTGCCGCCACACCGTTCACCGCCCCCCGCAGTTCGGCCACAACGTCCCCGCCGCCAGAGCCCTGGGCCTTCGCGGCCTCAAGCACGGTCTCAGCCCAGGGCTCCATGAGAAAGGTCCCGAGGAACGCGACCAACGAGACGGAGGACGTGGCGGCGAGAAGGACACCGCCTGCGTGCGGGCCGCCATGAGCGGCGCAGCCCAGCGCCGACGCGGCAGAGCCAGCTTTGCCGAGCAGAAAGGCAGCCGCCACTGGTGCCTGCGCCGCCAGGGCGCCCAGCTGGGCCACCTGCGCAAGCACCACCAGTCCCACGCCCGCGGCAGCGCTGGCGGCGGCAGCCCCCTCCTGCTCCACCGCGCCAGCCTGGAAGACGCCAGCAGCTGCCTCGAACGACTGCGCCTCCACCTCCTTCTCCACGGCCAGGGTCTCGTCGCGCGCAGCCTGGATCTCCGCGCTCGCAGCGCCCCACTCCGCCGTGGCGCCCGCCACCAGCTTGGGACCCTCCAGCACCGCCGCCGCGGCCGCAGCGCCAGCCACGACGACGGGCGTGGCCAGGCCTCCCGAGGCCACCTCGGCGCCCACGGCGCCTGCCTCCACGGCCGCCAGCGTGCCACCCTCGGCCACAGCCACCCCGATGCCATCCGCAGCAGCGGCGCCGGCGCCCTCGGCAACGGCGAGGCCTGCGCCCTCGGCCGCCGCCGCCGCCGCGCCCTCCGCGGCCGCTGCGCTGGCGCCCTCGGCGACGGCGCCCTCGCCCGCCGCCATGGCAGCCTCCGCAGCAGCGTCGACCTCGGCGGCGATGTCCGCCGCGGCCTCCTCGGCCGCCTCGCCCCCGCCGAACTCGGCGGCGCCCGCCTCCTTCTCCACCGCGCCCTCGACCTCCTCCAGGGCGACACCCTGCTCCTCCGCGGCCTTGGCCTCCAGCTGGGCCACCAGCACCTGGTCCTCCGTGGCGGCCGCGACGTCCGCCGCGGCCGCCGCCTCGGAGCCCAGGGCCGCCTCCTGCTCCAGGAGGGCGTACTCGAAGTAGCGAAGGCTGCCGGGTGGTGAGCCGACGCCCCGTCGGAGGCTGCCGGGAGCGGCGCTGCCCCAGGGTGCCCCCGGCTTCGGGCGCCGCGCTGCAGCCTCCGGGGGCCGCCAGAGGCCGCCAGAGGCCTCCCTGGCGGTCACCCCGGCCTCGCCGGGGGAGGGGCCAGACCGAGGCCTCCCCAGATGAGGCGGGGCCACCCGGGGCCTCGGCCAGAGGTCACCTCTGGCAGCAAACGCTGCCAACGCCCCCCGACTCCGCCCGCCCCTCGCTCCGGCCGCGTCGGGAGGCCGCGACGCGCAGGAGGAGGTGCAGGAGAGGGGAGGGGAGAGGGGGGGGGGCAGGCCGCGTGCGCTCGCGTCGCATCGGACGTCCTACACCTCCCTGCCTTCCCTCACTTCTGCGTAGAGCCCCTCTCTAGGCGCACGGTCGGATGTCGAAGAGGACAATGGTTCCCAGAGGGTGCGGGATGCAGAGCATGGCATCTCATGGCGTAGGAGGGCACGGCAGAGCGTAGCATGGCATAGCATGGTGTGGCAGAGCGTAGCGAAGCATTGCATATAATAGCATTGCAGCGCAAGGCATGGCATCGCATGGCAGTACATAACATAGCACTGCATGGCATGCCCCGGCACGGCACGGTACAATATAGCATGGTATGGCACCGCGTAATTAGCCCAGCAATTGCACATCACAGCATTGCAGAGCAAGGCATGAAATCACATTGCGGTAAATAGCGTAACATTGCGTTACAAGCCATGGCTGCATGAACGGTGCAGACGGAACACCATGCTGGAAGATCGACAATTTGGACATGAGGCCAGTGCTGCAGCGAGAGCCAAACTTTGTAGGACCGAAAACGCGGAAATGATGCCAGCGATGCAGAGGGAACACCATTCGGAAGGACCGAAAACGCGAGACCAGCGCTGCAGCGGGAGCAGGATTGTGAAGGACTGGAAGCGAGGAAATGAGGCCAACGCTGTAGCGAGAGCATCTTTTTGAAGGAACGAAAACTTACCCATCGGAAAACACATTCGGAAAGACCAATGCTTGAAATCCTGCGTAGGAAACCATGCGCGGAGAGGGCGGGCTGCCTCCCTGACAGAGTGGGGGGAGAGGAGAATAGTACTCACAACGTGCAAGCCCACCAGCCCTTCGGGCTCAGGCGGCCCATCGACGTTTTCGCTCCCCTTCCCCCCCAAAAAAAGCTTCCCCTGTGCCAAAAGACCACCTCGCCCTCAGGAGCCCCTGGAGCACCAGGTCGGGACAGTGGGGCCCTGGCTCGGGGTGCGCACGGGCTGTGCTGTCATCAGGAGCGTCGGCTCACGGCTGGTTGCGGACTTGGCCGCGACGTCGCTCAACACCACACCCGTGAGCGTGAGCGGGGCCGCCACGGCCAGGAAGGCGAGCCGCAGCAGGCTGGAGGCGACCGCCCCTCCTGACGAGAGGAGGGCGCCGGCTGCCCTCGAGGCTGCAGCTTCGGCGCCTACACGCACGGCTGGTGCCGCCGAGGTGGCGTGGCTGCGGCGGCCACCGCGGCGGAAGATGCAGCCTCGAGGGCACGTGCCCTGGGATCCTGACGTTGCATTTTTCACGACCAACATTTTCGCCCAGTTCGTGATCATTTTCGATGTTGTACTTGTTCCGCTACGCCGAATCCCACGGAACACCTACACAGATCCTCATAGGCCCAGGATCCTGGGCCCTCGAGGGGGGGTCGAAGATCGAGGCTTGGGCACTTGAGCCGTTGTATCCGCATGCCCACTTGTGGGGCCACCGTGCTGCGCGGCTCAGGCTTGCTGTTAGTGGACGAAAAATAAAAGATAATCAAAAAATACCCCCAACTGGTTAAAAAAAAATCAAAAAATCGTCCCCTGACTATTTTTTAAGTATTTCTGAATATTCCTCCTGCAGAGGGACGTGCTCGACTTGAGCTTGCTGCTCCCTGCACCAGTTCCAGTTTCCAGTCTCCAATGTTCTGGTGCTGCCTGCTGCTTCCCACTGTACATCGTCGCTGCCCCCACGAGGGGGGGGAGGCCGAGCAGCGTCTGGTCCCCGAAGTCCTGGGGGGGGGTCGTGGGACGCCAAGAAGGGCACGAGGTTCGCGCTGCCGAGGCAAGTACCCGAGGCCAGAAACCTCGGCAGACAACGCAACCGTCGCGCCGCCAAGGCCACAGTCGCTCATAAGTTGCACGGTGGTGGCGTCCCCGAGGCCATGATCCGTGTGCAAATTACGCCACAGATGCGTCCCGGAAGCCATAAACACATGCAAAGCTACACAAGGAAAAATCGTTTCCTCGAGGCCACGATCCCGCGCAAATTAAATCGTAGGTTTACCCCCGAAGCCATAAACCCTCGTAACTTACGCTGTGTTCGCGTCCTCGAGGCAGTAATCTTTTGTAGAATATTCGATATTTGCGTGCCCGAGGCAACGTTCTTCGTAGACGACGCGATGCACGATTCCTCGAGGCCACGATCCCTCCTGAATCACATCAGATTCGCGTCCTGGAGGCCACGATCCCTTGCAAATGATGCAACAGCTGCGCCCTCGAAGCCGCGATGCCTCGTGAAGCCCCGATCCCTCCCATATGACACCCTCGTCGCGTCCCCGAGGCCACGATCCCTCACTGCGCTGCCCCTGCACTCCCGCCCCCGAGGCCGCGGTCCCCTCGCAGACTCTATGACGCCCTGGCGCCCTCGCGGACGCGCTCCTCTGCAGGCTGCGCCGAGCCGCGCCCCCGAGGCCGCGGGCCCCCTGCAGGTTACACCACGCTCGCGGCCCCGAGGCCCCGAGGCGCTGCACGTTGCACGACAGTCGCGCCCCCCGAGGCCACGACCCCTCGCACACGTCACCGCCTTCGCGCCCCCGAGGCCGCGACATGTTCTAAACTACGCCACACTCGCGCCGCCGAGGCCACGATCCCTAGCACACTACAAGACACCCGCGACCCCGAGGCCACGACCGCTCTCAAGTTGCCCCAGATTCGCGCTTGCGGATTCACGATTCCTTGGAAATTACGTCGCCTTCGCGCTCCCGAGGCCACGATCCCTCGTTAATTACGCCGCGCTCGCGCCTCCGAAGCCGTAACCCGATGTAACTTACGCGACACTTGCGCTTCCGAGGCTATGCTTCCTCAGAGTTTACGCCGGATTTGCTTCTCCGAAGCCACGAATACACCAGCGCCCACCAGGCCACGACACCTCGCAAATTTCTCCACATTCGGGCCCCCGAGGCCATGATTGCAAATTACGCCACACTCGCGTCCCCGAGGCTGCGATCCCCCTCAGCATCTGAATCTGTTTTGCTGATCGCCAGCCGTCCTCGCATGACCCTCCCAGACGGCTTCGAAACGGCTGCCAGAGATCCCAATATTGCTCTGATAAACCTCATTATGATGGAGAGCGGGCCGGCGGCAGGGGGCGAAGCTCTTACGGATAAGTATTGAATTGCTACATTCTAGCAAGCTGCAGGCATGACATTTTACCCCCCCCCCCTCTTGCCGCCTTTTCATTCAGCGCTGGGCCGAAAAGGCGTGCAAGTGGATCCCAGCTTCCGTTAGGTCGGGCATGTCCCCCGACAGGCGGATTTCGGACGAATGCTAAAGATACCCCAAGAACATTCAAAAACGGTCAATACATACTAAAAAAACTCCCCTGACTATCTTGTTGAATATTCCTCCTGCTGTGGAGGGACAGGCCCGACTTAAAGCTTGCGCGCGAAGTTCAAACTTCCTTTCGGCCCTCGCCACGGCTCGAGGCTTGGGCGCTCGAGCCGCAGGCTGGTTCCAGCCTGGCAAGCCTGCTGGCATCACATGTTACACCGCCCCCTGCTGCCGCCTTTTCCTTCGGCTCGGCTACACGCAAGAGTGAGCGAGAGAGAGAGAGAGACACCCACCTGCGGGCGGAGCCCGTCCCGGCGCGGGTTGGGGTGACTTGCGCCGCAGCGCCTCAGTTCATCGTGTACTCCTCGTGTGCGAACAGAAATCTTTCTCCAAATCCTTCCACATGTCCTTGTCTGCAGCAATGTAAAACCAGTTCGTACCATCGACATCATGACCGGCATCCTGTAGAAATTGTAAAATCTCTTTGTTCCAACGTTTTTTGGGCGCGTGTGGCCGGCGCCCCTTCGCCCTCGGGCAATCCGCCGGGAAGAGTGAGCCTGGGTAAGAGTGACCTTTGGTGCGCGGCTCCTCGTGAGCCGCGGGGAGGCCAAACCCGAGCGCGCAAGACGCTGCTACCGCCTCGCGTCTTGGGGGCCCCAAGGTGCCCGCACCAAAGGTCAGTCCAGCGAAAGGTCACTCTTACGTCTAGTCGATCAGCACTGGCCAGAGAAGGCGTGCAAATGGGTCCCAGCTTGCGCCGTACTTCGGACGTCCTTCCGGTCCTCGCCGCGCCCACCCCTCTCTCCATGCAGGCCCGAGCCTAGAAGCAAAGGGCCTGATCCGAATGCCTCCAGAGACTTCCGGAGGCCTCAGCGAGGGCTGCGCTCGCGAAGAGG